ATCATTTAGTATGTAATAAGTACCTGCTTGCTCTGAAAAACAAACCACATAAAATCATTTAGTATGTAATCTAATAAGTACCTGCTTGCTCTGAAAAACAAACCACATAAAATCATTTAGTATGTAATCTAATAAGTACCTGCTTGCTCTGAAAAACAAGCCACATAAAATCATTTAGTATGTAATATAATAAGTACCTGCTTGCTCTGAAAAACAAGCCACATAAAATCATTTAGTATGTAATCTAATAAGTACCTTTCTGATAAATAAAGATATGAATAAACTAATAACAAACAAACATACTCAATAATGGAAAGAGAATTACATACTAAAAACAAACAAATGTACTCCATAATGGAAAGAGAATTACATACTGAAAACAAACATACTCCATAATGAAAAGAGAATTACATACTAAAAACATACTCCATAATGGAAAGAGAATTACATACTAAAAACAAACATACTCCATAATGAAAAGAGAATTACATTCTAAAACCAAACAAACATACTCCATAATGGAAAGAGAATTACATACTGAAAACAAACAAACATACTCCATAATGGAAAGAGAATTACATTCTAAAACCAAACAAACATACTCCATAATGGAAAGAGAATTACATACTAAAAACAAACATACTCCATAATGAAAAGAGAATTACATACTAAAAACATACTCCATAATGGAAAGAGAATTACATACTAAAAACAACCAAATGAACTCCATAATGGAAAGAGAATTACATGAAGTAATTCTTACAGTATTACATGTTTTTTAATGATAACCTTTAATTAATTCTTACAGTATTGCATGTTTTTTAATGATAACCTTGTAATTAATTCTTACAGTATTACATGTTTTTTAATGATAACCTTTTAATTAATTCTTACAGTATTACATGTTTTTGATTAATTCTTACAGTATTACATGTTTTTGATTAATTCTTACAGTATTACATGTTTCTTAATGATAACCTTGTAATTAATTCTTACAGTATTACATGTTTTTTAATGATAACTTTGTCTTTTGTGTCAACTTTTGTTTTCAGCCATGGACGCTTAACTGCATCTGATGCTGTAAAGAGAGATTTTGAGAAGAGCCAGCCAACTATTGTGCGTTTCCTGGTGGCATGCTACTATGCTATCGTCTCTCATTCTGATGTGTTGTGTTATTTGATTATTGTAATAAATCAACTGAAATCTGCAAGTTTGTTGTCTCTGCCGTTGCCCTTCATGGCCTTTCTTTGGGGAGCCCTATCTGTTCCAAGGCCTACCAAGACCTTCTGGATTACTATCATTACATACACCGAGGTAGGCCTTCTAAGATCTTGTGGATTATAATCATTATTTAAACCAAGATATGCAACTTGAGAGTGAATAGTTACAATATGCATGTATTATGTTAGAATAAGTTTAATATAACAATAAAGTGAGTCAGGCAGTATATTGGATGATATTATGTCACTCTAGGTTTAACATAAAGGATTGTGTCAAACAGTATGGTGGATGAGAGTGAACTGAAATTGAAAGTGTAATGATTTGAGTTACAGTAACCTTAGAATTACAGTTACTTGAAGAACAGTGTGTTTATCTTAAGAGGTTCATGTAGAAGCAACTGTTGAAATGTGATGTGTATTACAATTTTAATTTTTCACTGTTTAGGTTGTGGTAGTTATCAAATACCTGTTCCAGTTTGACTTTTTCCCTTGGAATGTGGAAACTCATGTGAATGCCCCTTTCTGGGCACCAAGAATTTTGGGCATTGAAAAGAAAGACGATTATGCAGTTTACGATTTGGCCCTTCTTCTTGTAGTGTTCTTCCATCGTTTCGTGTTAAAGGTAAGAATCCAATATTGATTCACAGTTTTGTACAAAACATCCCCCACTTAAGAGTTATGTGACATACATGGTAGTAGAACAATATTAAAAAGATAAAGAAAAAAGCTATATTTCATAAGCAACCTAGCAAAGTGACTTTGATACTTAGAGCTTGTGATTTTGATATCTAGAGCTTAGGACTGTGGAAAGATGAAGAGAAAGCACAAACCTCTTCTAGAGAAGTCTTGGATAAGAAACCTAATAGTTTATCTAAGGAAATGCTGGCAGAGAGACCAGAGTCAGATATAGATTGGTTTGTAAGTTTTACATTTTTAAATTGTGTGCTTTATATGTTCTGTAATTTCAGATAGAGGTCTTAAGTTTATTGACTGATGAAATATAAATTAAAAATTATTAAAAGTTTTGGGCCAAGAAGATATTAGTATGTTTGCTCTCTAAAGAAAGTCTTGGATTTAGTTTTATTCATTAATGTTTAACTTTACATTTATGTCCCCAGAGGCTCAGTGGTATGTCTGAGGATTTATATCACTAAACGTCTGGTTTCGATACTCTTGATGGTGGGCACAGCAGAGATAGTCCATTGTGCAGCTTTATGCTTTACATCACACAAACAAAACATTTGAACACAATCATATATTCAACTTTATGCACTCCTTACTTCTTAAAGTTGGACATTTTCTAATAAGTTGTGAAAAGCATTTTTCTTATGTTACATTATTTACAAATTAGTGTTGCAGTATAACTACTAATGATGTAATATCACACATCGTTGTACATCTCTAAAACTATATGTGATTAATTTCCAACAGATCGTTTCTGTAGAAGGCCAGAAAGTGATGCAAGGAGAGGCAACAGATGGGAAGACTGATGAAACAGGTAGAAGTCAAGACAGTGAAGATCTCTTAGGGTCATTTAATCAATATGGTGATGTAGGTAAGTCAGGTAATTATTAATATCTTCTCTTCCAAATTATCAGGAAAGTTTGTAGTTTAAAGTTCTTGTAGTAGAAATATACTTGATGCTGTATTACAAGATGGTTTGTAGTTGATACTGTTTTACAGGATTATTTTGTAGTTGATACTGTTTTACAGGATTGTTTTGTAGTTGATACTGTTTTACAGGATTTTTTTGTAGTTGATACTGTTCTCAGGAAAAAAAGTTTGTGGTTGATACTACCTTAATGCAAGGTTTGTGGATGATGGTGTCTTAATCAAGAGGTTTGTGGCTGATGCTTTCTTAGCCAGAAGGTTTGTGGCTGATGCTTTTTTAACCAGGAGGTTTGTGGCTGATGCTTTCTTAGCCAGAAGGTTTGTGGCTGATTCTTTCATAGCCAGAAGGTTTGTGGTTGATGCTTTCTTAATCAGGAGGTTTGTGGATGATGGTGTCTTAACCAGAAGGTTTGTGGATGATGGTATCTTAGCCAGAAGGTTTGTGGCTGATTCTTTCTTAGCCAGAAGGTTTGTGGCTGATGCTTTCTTAACCAGGAGGTTTGTGGCTATGCTTTCTTAGCCAAAAGGTTTGTGGATGATTGTGTCTTAACCAGGAGCTTTGTGGATGATTGTGTTTTAGCCAGAAGGTTTGTGGCTGATGCTTTATTAACCAGGAGGTTTGGGGCTGATACTTTCTTAGCCAGAAGATTTGTGTTTGATGGTATATTAACCAGGAAGTTTGGGGCTGATACTTTCTTAGCCAGAAGATTTGTGTTTGATGGTATATTAACCAGGAGGTTTGTTGATGGTGGTGTTGGTGTCTTAACCAGAAGGTTTGTGGATGATGGTGTCTTAGCCAGAAGGTTTGTGGCTGATGCTTTCTTAACCAGGAGGTTTGTGGCTGATGCTTTCTTAACCAGGAGGTTTGTGGCTGATGCTTTCTTAGCCAAAAGGTTTGTGGATGATTGTGTCTTAACCAGGAGCTTTGTGGATGATTGTGTTTTAGCCAGAAGGTTTGTGGCTGATGCTTTATTAACCAGGAGGTTTGGGGCTTATACTTTCTTAGCCAGAAGATTTGTGTTTGATGGTATATTAACCAGGAAGTTTGGGGCTGATACTTTCTTAGCCAGAAGATTTGTGTTTGATGGTATATTAACCAGGATGTTTGTGGATGATGGTGTCTTAGCCAGAAGGTTTGTAGCTAATACTGTCTGTTATTGACAGTACCTGAGTATCAAACAAGAGATATAATAGCTGATGGTTAAGCTCACAGAGCTAGTAGACATTAATAATGATTTATCATTTATATAAAAGAAATTTTGAACAAAAGGGTCAGCACTCTTTAAAACGGATTGATCAGTTCGATAAGTGCACAGCTACAAATTTACTTATTGGTAGAAATGTTTATTCACAAACTGTCACTTATGTAACATATACATACATAAACAGAATTTGATGTTACATGTATTGTTGAATAGGTTTAACAAGAATTGTTCTTGACTTAGTTATAGCTATAGTTTTGGAAGAAACCATAATTCAAAATAAAATGTAACTTCTTGATTCTAGATGAACAGAAACCAGAAGATAGAAAAAAACCTTCAAATATGTGAGTTCCCTTAACTGCTTTTATACTTTTAACTAAGTGGTTTGTAGAGTTGTGTTCTGGTAAGCAGAGTTTGTTTGAATAATAAAGTGAGGAACAATTAATGTTACATACAACTTGTGAATATTTGTTAGCATGATCTGCCAAGTCACATCTTGTTTGTTTGCCTGCATGATGCAAGTTTAATGTCAAAATGTATTTTGATTTAAGATATTTTTAGAGACAAAGGCTCTTTCTTTATATTTTAATACACAGGGAAGACATAATTACTAATTTTGCTTATTTGTTTTATTGTGTTGAAGCTATGTTTTTTTAAATGTAGATATTTCTAGTGGTTTGTATTGTTGTATGTCTGGAGGGAGGTTTGATGTAGCATGATTGATGTGGTTTGACATTTGAAATTTTCACCAAAGTTTTTGAATGATTTGAGCAGTATAAACTGCAATTTAGGATATAGTTGATTTATTGTTAACTATTGAGTTAATAAGTTTGTCAATTTGTCTGTTACAATCAACCAGTTAGTCAATTTTCAAATACTGAGTTTGTGTTTCAGTGAATTACCAGGGATACAAGAGCAAATTAGCAAGTAAATGACTGTTTGGTATGATTTTTGAAGTTAGGTCTATCTTTAAGTGAATATTAGGTTAGTATGTGAAATGTTTAAAACCTATAGTAGAAGAAATAAAATGTGTTTGTTACTGTTGAGTTAATTGGGGTTTGAATAACTTTGTTTGCCAAGTAATCCAAACAAACCCACTGAAGAAAAGAAACTGTTAAAACAATATATTGAAGTAGCTTGCAGTTGTTTTCCAATAGGAAATACCTATTGAATGTATTTATATTTATTCCTTCCATTGAATTGTTTAATGTTTATTGAAAGTTTTTTAATGTGACAGCTATAGAGGGCCTTTCAGAAAGTTCTTCATGAACCTGCTGAGTCCAGAGTATCGGGTAACTGTGGATGTGTATGCGTTTATGTTTCTCTGTGAATTTGTCAACTTCTTAATAGTTGTTTTTGGCTACTGGGCATTTGGTGTAAGTACTAACAGTTTCACAGTTTATGTACCTGTTTTTTCTGGGCATGCTAACTTGACTTTATATCTAATGAGCTTGTTGAGGTCATAGGGAATCATGAAGATAGCAGAATGTTTTAATGGAAGGATTATCTTTATACATAAACAGACCAATTTATTGAGAGAAGTAGGAATTTCTTGTTGCATTGTAATTAGTAATTGATGCATAAAATATTTTTCAAATGATGAGCCTTAAA